ATACATAAAATCAAAACAAACATTTAAAAACACAGAACAAAAATAGTCAAATGAAAAATAAAATAAAGCAGTATTTACATTGAAATAGAATGGAATAAAATATGTGCAGTAAAAAAAAAAGCTACCGCCTGAATATGCTTCATGAAAGGCAGGTTTTCCTATAAATAAGATCTCTGACAGAAGACACATTTTGATACTGAATATCTTGGTTCTTCGGTTAAAGGTGGGGTAGGTAATTTTGGAGAAACCAGCTCGAGTGCGCTAGAATTTGAAAATACACAGCCGGAAGAAATCTGCTACTTCCTTACAGAGCCCCTCCTCCAACACACACGAACGCGCACATGACCAATGAGGGCACGAGATAAGTTTGTGCACAGATGGAAGGCTGACAGGCAGGTAGGCCATCCAGTTATTTTAGCCGGGCCGGCTCAGATGATTGGTCGTGCTTTTTACAGTACGGCTTCCACAGATGAAGTTTTTTAATGGATTTGTTGTCAAAGCACTTCAGATATTCATTGCTATCGGGATGTTAAGAGCATGGAATATAACAACAAGTGTATCTCGAGCCGGTTTCTCAAACTTACCTACTCCACCTTAGCTGTCCAGCTGGGACAAGCTCGTGAGGTATCAGACCTGGGGAGTACATGTAACAGGATTACGTTATCAGATGACAAAAACATGTTACTGAGATAACTGTTACATTTCTCAAAATCGGGGATGACTAGCAGGAATGTTTCAAAAACTAAAAAGACGCTTAGTGTTTATTGTAAAAAGGATCAGATTGTATGTATTCTTTGTTAGCTGTACTGTTGTTTAAGCTAATACTACTGCCTGGATTACTCTATCGTTTTCAAGCCTTTCGTTAGTTTGTTCTTCTTTTAATTAGGTGAACCTATATGTCCATAAAATAGTTTGTGTGTGCTTAAAGGTGGGGTAGGTAAGTTTGAGAAACCGGCTCGAGAAACACTTGTTATATTCCATGGAATGCTCTTAACATCCCGATAGCAATGAATATCTTAAGTGCTTTGACAAAAAATCCATAAAAAGCCGTAGTACTGTAAAAAGCACGACCAATCATCTGAGTCGGCCCGGCTAAAATAACTGGATGGCCTACCTGCCTGTCAGCCTTCCATCTGTGCACAAACTTATCTCATGCCCTCATTGGTCATGTGTGCGTTTGTGTGTGTTGGAGGAGGGGCTCTGTAAGGAAGTGGCAGATTTTTTCTGGCTGTGTATTTTCAAATTCTAGCGCACTCGAGCTGGTTTGTCCAAAATTACCTACCCCACCTTTAACTATGTGTTTTAAACTAAAATGGAGAATTTTCTCAGCTCAGATTTTATTTCTGCTTTTTTAAACTGTAGAATGTGTATAGGCCACTGCCTGAATATGCTTAATGAAGGGGACACATTTTTTCATAATTAATATCTTGGTTTGTTCTTTTCTAAGGTTACAATGTTCTTACATAATACATTGGTTACAATCGACAACACTACCGATTACTTTAACTTACATCATGACGTAACTAGTAATTGTACCAGAACACTTTGTTAAAGTAACCTTCCGAACCCTGGGTGAAGTCATCAGATACAGAGTCATTTACAGACCGTTAGAATGGAGTATCTTATGGTTTATGGCATGATATGGACTCTGAAGATAAATAATCCTACTCTTTGTGACTCCTCCAGGTTTATGGAAGCTTTGGGACCGATGGTGGGGCTGATATCGAACGAGATAGAAACCAAGACCTCTATAATCCGCCAACTGGCCCTGTTGGCAGAAGCGGACCCTGAAGCAGAGCTGGTGGGCCCGGATATACACTCAATATACGGAGAGGTCACAGAAACTGGGGGAAAGACTGATAAGGAGGCCTCACAACACACTGGTGCTTACCACTCTGTGCGCACCATGATCTGGACAGAGCTGGGCCGAGGGCAGGTGAACTTCCACCACCAGACGGACTCTGGGTGTCGAACTCTCCTCCGATTGCACCGCGCTTTGCTCTGGCTGAAGCTCTTCCTGGAGAAATTGTCAGAAACACCGGTGGCTGGTCGGCTCAGGAGCCCCTCGGAGCTCTGCAGAGAGGCGTATCAGGGGACCCTCGCCCACCACCACACATGGTTCGTCCGCAAGGCCGCAGAGCTGGCCTTCATCGCCATGCCGGAGCGGGCTTTCTTCTTCCGACTGGTGTGTGTGCAGAACCAGGAGGAGCTGAGCATGTTGCTAAAAAGAGTGGTACAATCCCTGGGAGAGGTTTACGACAGGACGCAGAGTGCCTTGGAAGAAAATGGCATGCTGGACTTGCCCTAGAAAATAAAAAATGGCTGTGAGACTTGACCATATTTGCACTGTCTTCAAGATATCCTGGGCATCACAGCTACAAAACGTGGTGCTAACTTAAATGGCCTTTTTACTGCTGGAATTCATACGTGCCATATTTTTCCTCCAAACCAAAGTGCTGCGTCAACAATCAACTGATACTGAAAGTGTGTTTGCTTTCGATCTGTGGACATTCCTTATCACCTTTTATGAGATCACATCTCAATACCGTAAGGGCAGCTGATGATGCATCTAGGCTGGCTTTGAATTATTTAAGCAGGTGCACAGATAAACTAAACACCACTGTAACCTTTGTTCAGCTTAGGATGTGCTGGAGATCATCGCAGGGGAGGTGATTTTGTAATTTATTGATTTGTGTTTTTGTGCCAACCCCTGCTCACATGTGATTTTTTTACATTCAGAATATTATTGAAAATGACTGCTGTTTAATGCTTGGTGATTTTGTATGCTACCTCAAAAACTGACTAGATCTAGCTGCCTTGTAGCCCTTAAATCTGGGACCAATCTATCATGATTTAAGAGGTTTTACAGAACAAATCAACAAGTGCTGAGAAAAGGACAATACAGTACTGAAATGCAACTGTAGTGTGAGTGTGGAGAATTGATTGTTCCTGTTTTATATTGTAAATGGTTGAATGATGTTCAGAATGATTAAATATCTAAAAACGAAGGAACAAGAAAAAAGAGAGAATCTAGTTGGCTCGTTTATGTGTGGTCCAGTAATGTGATAACATTGACATTTAAATGCCACTGAACTGTGCAGTGATTCCTACCGTCCAGCAGAGGCTCCACTGCTCTTCCACACACATCTCCATTTCCCAACATACATGTAATGGTGGATATAATCTGCTGTCGGAAAAAATTCAGGATTTCTAACCGCAATACAAATGCTTTCCCTCCCATTATTACAATTTGTCAGAAAATTATAGATTTATATATTTTTTTAAAGTCATGATCTGAAAAATATCAATGGATTGCTTATTTTTTAATATCTTTGATAAGTAGAATGTTTAACATGGATAATTGTGTGGAGGTATCGGTCACCTCCTACTCTTGATCAGACTATTTTAAACCCACAAATACCTCTAATGCCACGTAATCCCATGGCTATCTACCATTCGGTGAACTGTGCTCAGTCTTTCTAAGGAGGAGACGGTGAGGGAAGGAGATAAGGATAGAGTCTGAAGGAGAGAAACAGAGAGGGATGGCTGAAGGTCAGAGAGAGGAAGTGCTCCTCGGCTGTAATCTCGTCAAGCAGCTGGAGGCAGAATATAGGGAAGCAAAGTCCTAAAGGACAGAAAGAACAGCCCAATCTAAAACTGAACTCACGTCGGAGTTTGACTTCAATCTGTGATCGTTGACCTGTGATGTGTTAGGAGGATGACATATTGCTCGTGGTATTTCCACTACATACTCTCTTCCTCTCAGGGGCTGTTCTAGAGGGGGGGGGGGGGGGGGGGGTGCCCCTGTAACACTTACCTTTGACCCCTCTGAGGCCCAACCCCTCATAAAGAGTAATCTATGATAGTGATATTTGTGATAACAATGTGCTGTAACCTTGGCCAAAGTCAACAGGAATGTTTTTTTTTTTCAATAATTGAATTTAAGAAAATTGTCACTAAGTTAATTAAAAACATGATGTTACCAAAACAAATAACAGAAAGTGTTAAGAAACAACATAAAAACAAAGTCTGGCTGAACCAATTATATGTATATGTATTCCCCAGTTTTGAATATACTTAAAGTACCAAAAGTAAAAGTAGTCATTGTGCAGATTGTTCCTTTTCAGAATAATATATATGATATGTTTTATAATGATTGATCATTAAAGTGTTCTCAAAGCTGGTGAAGGTGCAGCTAGTTTGAATGACTTTGTATTCTGCAGGGTAGCTTGTGAATTTACTCCAGGTGGAACTAAAGTCTGATTTAAGAGTTAATTATATTTCACACCATTCATCCACATCTGTAAAGTAACTCAAGGTATTAAATAAATGTAGTGGAGTAAAAGTACAAAGTAGCATAACATAGAAATACTCCAGCACCTCAAAAGTGTACTTAAGTACAGTACTTGAGTAAATGTATGTAGTTACTTCACACAGATAGCATGTGTCAGTTTGAGAGTTAAACTCAGGAGTTCAGTGGTGCTGTAGGCCGAGGATTACAGAGAATGAGATTACTTTAGATTACCTGACGCTGCTTTTGACATTGACTAGCTTCTTTTTCTGTCCACCTTACTGCCGTACTACATTTTACCACCTGACTCAACATCAGATTTTCACTACAACGTTATTGTAAAAATAATTCACGATTTGTTGCGATAAAAATGATATCTCTCTGACCATATTAAACTTTGTCCATTGTGCGTTTTGGTAAAATGCTTGTAAATGCATTTGACTTAAAACGAGTGTGCGGAGTCTTTAACTGTATCTGTGCAAAAGAGGCGCTGGAATATTTGAAAAGTAGTATTTTAAGATTACATTTTTTAAATATCATGGTTTTCGTCAGTACCAGTTGATTGCAACACCCATCATTTGACACATAGTAAGCCACAATGAAAGGATGCACATCACCATCTCTGCATCTGTCTTTGAATTATAAATCCCTTCACTCATCCATAAGACACCAAGGATGACAGGAAGGAGAAATAAAGGGTGAGTCAGAGTTCCCTTAAATGACATTTATTTATTTCTCTATCTTGGTTTGCAGTAAACATGAGCAAAAATGTACATACAGTAAGAGCAAAACATAAAGATCCAGAATATAATTATCATCCTTTTTGGGGCGAGAGTGTCTCGACAAATTTCATGAAATACCTACACCACAGTCTTAGGCAAAAGTACGATTTAAGACGAGGGGTTTGGGAAGCGGGGTGGGGGGGGGGGGGGAGGTTTGATATAATTACTCCTTCTTTGAAAGTAGTTGATTCTCTCTGACATTTGCGTTGGACCGGGTTGCAGTTTTGTTCTGAAGAGTTTCTGGTTTGCACTTGAAAGTTCTCTGAAGGCTTTTCTGATGTTTTCCCTTTAATGTCTGAACACTTAGTTTCAGAAAACTTCCATTTGCAAACAATGATCTCAATTTAATATAGAAAGGACTCGAGCCATGACCAAACATGTTCCTATATTAAAAAAACAAAAACACTTTTCCATCCAAGCTGTTAACATTTCCCCGTTCGTTGAATTCAATGCTAAACACCTATCAGGTATCGCTCCCACGACATGATACAATCCAAGTTAATACATTCTCTCCTCTTTACAACAAAATAGCAATAAAAATACTCTTTTCTTATAAATAAAACAACACTTTGTTTGTAATATTCCATCACCATACTTCATGCTGGCAAAACTGCCTGACTGCAACATCCTATTCTTCTTCTTCGCTTTTCATGAGCCTTTCTAATAAATACATCCGCACAAGAAATAAATATTGCTTTTTGAGGACATCTCCAAATTATCACAGAGGAAGAAAAGAAACATACAAGGAGATAACAGGAAATAACATTTGGTGACACCGGGGGACATCACTGTCTGTCCACCAGGAGGCACTGTTATGTTGCAGTGAGACACGTTGCTTTGGTGCATATTACTATTATTATTATTATTAATATAATGATATAAGAGCAGGCCTTTCTTATATTACACGGGGTGTTATTCCCTCCACCTGAACCCCTATCTCTGCAGAGGATGTGTGATTGCAAATAAATCAAATTTTGATGAAGATCTTTGGTTGAAGAGCTAATCTTCACATGCACATGAGTAAAAACACAATGTCCAAATCAGCAATGACGCATTTATTTTTGATGAATTTAAGAATGATTGGGGGTAAAATAGAGATTGAATCGACACAAAATGTTGCCGAATCCTTTGACATGAGGGGGAGGAGCGACAAAGTAGGGTAAAGAAGTTGAGCGTGCCTGCTCCGGATTAGCTCACCAGATTAAGAGATTACAGTGAAATTAAGTAAGTGTAGCAGGAATGCCAGAGGAGAACTACATGTCAGTGGACAGTCAGAGAAAAGAGAGCCTCAGCTGAGTGTTCCACTACCATTCAGACCCCTCATTATAAATAACCTTTCAGACAATAGCAGATCTGTGTCTTTTATATAATGAATTCCTATTCCAGAGATATTTACGAGAGGAACACATTGCTCTGAGAGGAGTGGTGGAGTGGAGCCAGGCCTTAATGTGAGTGAACAGATGCCTGTTCCACATTTGCAGGATTGCTGCAATCTGTAGCCAAATTAAAGTGACCGAATTTCAAAGTGTGACTGCACAGATTTAGCCCGCCAACATGTGCAGGTGTCTCTTACAATAGCCTTTACCGCACACTGAATTAATGCACGTCGAGTAAACAGCACCATATTCAGGCTTCATCTATGCTTTTCCAACATGGTGGTTGATAAACTAGTCGTCTAGTTATCATTATGCCGTCAGACTGATTCATACAGCAGGGGGGGGGGACAAATAAAATGAAAAAGTATCCCCCTCTAGGAAGGAGATCTCCAGTGTGTCCATTTCCCTACAGGACTATAAAACAAAACTACCAACCCACATATTATTCAAGACTCTAGTCACCAATAACGGAATTTGTAAACTATACATTTCGATACCCTGGATGATATTTTAGAGGATGATAATGGGTGTAATTGAAAGAAAAAAGGGAACAAAACACAAACTTCTACATCCTCCAAAACTGTACAACAATGAATTCAAAGCACACTTGCAGTGTAAATCAATACAAAATATGACAATCGCATCTATTTCTGATACATATGAAATAGATGCAATACACGCACAAAAAAAAGACCTTTCTAAATATTCAAATTCAAAATAGAGACACAATAAAATGGCTCTTGGTTTAGCTTTAGGAATAAAATGATGATAAAGGAATGTGTTGATGCGATTTCATTTGATATTCAGGAGGGCGGATCGGAGGGATTGTTAGTTTTTTCTCAAACTACGAGGATGCTGTAAGACATGTGAAACATTGATGTCTCCTTTCGTGGTTAATATGAACGCTCCAAGCGACACAAACGTGAACACACTCCTGTTTCAGAAAGGTCAAACAACCAGTGTGAATATCAAATGATCCAAAATAATGATCATTCAATGGAAGTCCTCTCATCCGTAGAATGGACTCAAGCATTCATAATGTATGCCACTTAATGAATATTGCACATTGCATGCAACTTCCCGACCTACAGTATGAAATGGGACCCATGAATGGAGCACACACACACACGTCACACACACACACACACACACACACACACACACACACACACACACACACACACACACACACACACACACACACATACACACACATGCACAAACACACGCACTCTTAAAGGTTTTAACCTCTCCTGTAACTCCATTTCTTTTTATGTTGGAGATGCGTATCTTACAGTATGTTGTTAGCAAAACACACACTTGCTGTGTGTACGGGTTTAGTAGATTACAGTGTGGCCCCTCCTGGTGGTTGGTGTTTTTTTTTTTTAACCTTAGTTCACACTTAGCAGAGAGGTGGTGAGACGTAGGGGCCTCCTGCCCTCGTAGCACACTTAAGACAATACACACATGCAAAATGGCTTCATCTCTGCATCCACCCGATATACGTCTGTTGGATTATTCTTTTAAATGCAACAAAATAGACATACTAATATAAGGTTATGATACCGTATAAATACTGTAGATATACACATTTTGTATTGTAATTTGTGTATATTGGTATATAGAGGGGTACTCTATAAGGAGGCAGCAGGAGGGGGGCAGCAGTAAAGTGTTAATGTTGCTGATCCTTTGCAAACTTTGAAAACACATGTTCACATTCTTTACATCCCCTAGTTTGTCATGCAGTATAAATAGACGTCACCTCAAACTAATTTACAGAAAAGAATTCATCCCAAAGCTCACAGACAGAAATAATGACAGGATTACCACCCTTTTATTCTCGCCCCATCTCATCACAAAACTGGACAAACTATTTCCCCGCCCAGAAGTTGTTTTTGGGGAGGAAGGGGTTGTAAACAAATTCTACAAAGGGTGTGAATACTGAGATTTGTTTCTGTGTATGTGCAATGTTGCAGAAAATGAAGAAAGTGGTTTTTCAGGAGAGAAACAACAAAAAGGTCAACCTATATAGTGTTGATCCTCAGCTTGAAAGACACTCTTCCGGCCCACTTGTCTCTTTCACTTCCAGTGGGAATGTTGTTGGCGTTGATCCTGCACTCGATGTTGACGTCTTCATTGGTAGTGATGTTGAGGAACTTGACGGCAACTAAAGGCTGGGAGTAGTTCACCTGCAGAAACAGAGCCAAGGGGCGTCTTTAAACACAGCACTGGATGTCTGATTCATCTCTAATGAGCCAGCTGGAGATGACAGCTACAGTAAAGAAGGCTCGGGGAGTAACGGATTGCATGTAACGGGATTACGTAATCAGGATATGACAAAAAGTAAGTGTTCCCCCTTACAGTTGCATACAAAAAGACATATTGTTTGTTGTGAAAGGGTCAGATTTGATTTATTCTCTGTAAGCTGTACTGTTCTGTAGGCTAATTCTTTAAGTGTGAATCTATACGCCTACTGCCTGAATCTGCTTTTCACTTTCTTTGGTTCAATTTTTCTTTTTTGTATTCAGTAGTTGAACCTATATGTTCATAACATAGTGTCTGTGAGTCAGCTCAGATTGTATTTGTTTAATAAACAGATTTCTTTAAACTGTAGTATGTGCTCATGTGTTTCATTGTTGGTGTATAGGCTACTGCCTGAATATGCTTCATGAAAGGCAGGTTTTCCTATAAATACACGTTTTTTATTCTAAATATCTTGGTTTCTTCTTTTCTAAGGTCACATTGTTCTGCTGTTGCATTACATTTGATATTGAAGTAATACAACTAGTAAGTGTTACAGAATACATTTTTAAAGTAACCCTACCAACCCTGGGCAAAATGTACCAAGTATGGATTTCTCACGTGATCTTACCTGAGCTTTCTTGCCATAGTAAGGGTAGTACATAAGGTTGAAAGTGCCATTAGGAGGGAAGTACTGCAACTCGCCAATCTTTTCAGTGTCTTCTTTCTGTGGGGGTGAAACACCGTCATGAGATGCAGCCACTTCATGCATCACAACATATAATTAGGAGAGGAAAAGGTGAGCCTAATCTATATCCTTCTGTAAATCTAAAACAAACACATTATCTTGATATACACACATCTAGCATCTTCACTACTACTATTAATGTTTTAATGTAAAATCTGTACTCGAGGTCACATCCCGTCCTTACCCATTCATTTTTGCCAATTTTGTATCTCTGAGAGTGAGCACATTAATGGAAAAGAGAGGAGGAACATGCACAAGTGGTGTGAATGACAAAATGGCATGCAGTACAGATATGATAGTTGAAATGATACAGGACATTAAAGGGAATGGAGATGATGAGTGATTGGTGGCATATTGCAGATGAGAGGGAGGGACAATAGCCACGACTGGGCTGAAATCCAAATAGCTGTGTGAAGCCTTTCATTGTGGAAGGACTAAAAAGGGATTACCTTTGCGCCACAGGTGACAAACGGAGCCTGTCCATCTTTTCCTGGCAGCATCCCGATCACCTGGAGAGACAGAAACACAAGAAGTCTCCAACACCGTCCGCAATGCGCTCTCATTTAAACACACAATCACCAGAAATAAAAGGTAAGTGCAATAACCAATGACTATAATCGATATGGCTGTAACTAATTAGTATTTTCATTATTAATGTATCTGCTCATTATTGACAGGATTACTAGTTTGGTCAATCTGAGAAAATTGGTGAAATGCCCAGTGCAGTCTGAAAATCTAAAGTGATCTCTTTAAATGTCTTCCAAATACCCAGATATCAGCTTTTCAATTATATATATTTTTAATTAAGAAATGTCCATATTGAGAAGGAGAAAAACAGCATTTTACTGCGTTTTATGTATTTACTTTATCGTCCACAGACTTTATTAGTATTCCTTAAATCCAAAGCAAAAGGATTACAAATTGAGATTTGTGCATGAAATATGAACGATTAATCATCAAAATATTTGCAGATTATTTTTCGTTTACTTAGAAAAAAAAGCTTAAATGTCAATTTCAGTTTGTGTTATTTAAAAAAAAAGCAAGAACTCTCCATAAATACGGCCTTTTCTCAAATGAATGCATGAAAAATAAACGATTATTAAATCATTCAAATATAACTTTTATTGAACAATTTTACAATAACTTCATAATGTCTATATTATTGTTTATTTACTTTATTTTAAAAGGTCACATCTGTCACAAAACATGATTCCTCCATAGGATTTAATTTGATGACATCATGGATGCGTGGATTTATCTCCACTAATCTTAATACTGGCTTTCTTTGTTCTTACTGGGCTCGCCTTTCTGCCCTATTTTTATCAAACCAGTTTCATTATCACTGCCTCCATGTCTCCTAGCAACAGCACCCCTCCCCCCTCCTGCCCTCCTTCTTACCCGGTTTAGCTTGATGATGATGCACGGCTTGCCTTCCTGGTATCCATAGTAACGGTCAGTGATTCCAGAGCACTCATCGAGGATGGTGCGGTTGAACTGACACGAGCGCTTGGGGTTGTTCTTCACTTCGCCGCTATCCTCCTGCTGGAAGTACTCGTCCGGTTTGCACACGTTGTTCTTCTCCACTTGGGCCGTGTTGTTGTAGGCTGTAAGGGGGGGGGTGGGGGGGGGGGGGGGGAGTTATTCTGTGTGTAAAACTGCATTCAAACGATACGCGGACCCATTTATCTGCGCGGACGTTGTGTTTCTATGGAAACACCGGAAGTGCTAACTATATAGCATTATGAGCTAATTTACTGTTCACGTTCTGTGCCGCTTTATAGTTATGTTCCACTACCATTCAACGGGAAATATCGTACTTTTTACCTCATTACATTTACTTTGAAGCGTTATTACTTCATAGATTTAGATTTGCACAACATACAACTTTAAGAAAATGATGTTTTGATGGAAATTAACCAAAAACAAAGAGTATGAAGACATGTTACAGTTCCAGCTCCTCAGATGTGTTGCTTACCCTTTTAACTACCTCAATGTTTTTTTCTGCTATTACTTTCAGTACATTTAGACAATTATACTTAAATACTTGTACTTATGTACCATTCTTAATGCAGTACTTTGACCTGTACTTGAGTATTTTTACACTGCTTTTATCCGAAGCCACTTACAATAAGTGCACTTACAATAAGTGCAATAAAGCCTAAAGATCATAACAACAAGAAAAGTGCATGTGCATTTGAAATAAGCAAAGTCATTGTTAGTGCTGGTGCATTAGTTTCAAATGGGCTAAACTCTTTAAGTGATATTTTATTTATTTTGTAATGGCCAAGGCACAAGTGGAACAGTGGGGTTTCAGTCTGCAATGATAAATATGTAGAGTACTTCAACCACTGACTAAAACCAAAAGCAATCTCCAACCCACTTTAAAGGAATAATCTCTTATCGGGTAAAATACAATTCATGCGAGATAGCTGGATAATCCACAGTAAGCTTTTAGAGGTGAAGAGGCCAGACTTACGTGACAGGAACTTGTCCAAAGTCTGAGCGTACATGTCCCAGCTCTCGGTTTTCTGGGTGTTGTAGGTGATCTGGTAGTACTCATCTCCTTTGGGTCTAATCACCATACCTGTGAGAGACAGAGGTGATGGGGTCAGGACACGGAGACACTGAACTGTGATCACAAAAGGAGGATCAGGACAGGATCATTAGTTTAGCGCACCTGGCGTGGAGAGCCTGTCCTGCCATTTCGGCTTGTGGTCATCCAAAGTCTGCAGCATGACGTACATGGTGAGGCAAAACATGCCGGCCAGGAAGATGTAGAAAACTAAATAGAAGAGAAGAATAAGACCTGCAGACAAAGAGAGAAATGAGAGTTGTATTAGTCGTATGAGACATAACCATTTCATTCAATCATGTACCTTATTTCTTTCTGTACATTTTTTCATTTTCAGGAGGAATTCAATTGTTAGATAATTGAGCAATTGCACCATGTCTAAACATAATGTAATATTGTTTGTAATGTAAGTTGTAAAGAGTCTTCAGCTACATGAAGACCAAGCCTTTCATGTTTTATTATGCATTATGGAATAAAAAACGATGACTATTCAATCTGTGACAGTAACTGCTGTATCTTCCTCACCCTTGCTGTGCAGGTGACAGTGGATTACAGTGAGAGGGTTTCGATTTGATTTAAGGAGGAAAAGCTACATTCGACATTGGCAACTGCAGAGCATCTGATCATTCATTCATAATACCACACGAACTAAGACTAATCTTACATATGAGTAGATTTTAATTAAATGTTGCCTCTGCGTTGTGTCTGTGTGGTCACTTTCTGACAACTAATGGTCACAGGAGGCAAGTTAATCCTCATTAAACCGGCATCGCTTCGTTCCATCTGTCTCTCTCTATCCCACTCACACATGAATCCTTTAGGTGCTTAAAAGGACATTAATGGTGGAACATTGGCATGAATGGAGTCATTTAATTGGTGAAAACACAATTTGGGTTGCTTTCCTCACATATTTGCGTCCATTAAAGCAAGATGAAAAGGCTGCTCTCTGATCGATTTCATTATACAGTTTCCCTGTCCACGAGGAGGGGGGCGGTGTGATGACAGAGGGGGATACAGGAGGAGGAGGACAAGGACCCCCTGGAGACCGGTCTACAGGGTCAGGAGATTACATGCCATCATAGCCTCGGGCCTATTTCATGTAAGAAGCCTATAGAGATAATGTTACATTAGAACGAAAGTAGGGCTGCCACTAATCATTGTTTTTCTCATCTTTTATTTATCTGTCTAATCCTTTCTGATTATTCATCAGGTGACATTTCTTGATCGCCTGTTTGATCCAAGTGACAGTCCAAAACCACTTTTTTATTCTATTTGCATGATGCTTTTTCTCATTTAAAGACAAAGCTTATTATTGTTCTGAATAGTAAGGCTTAAATGACTTGTATCTTGACATTAAATTGACATTTTCACACTCTGTAAATGGTGTATTGTTCGATGACTCCTCGATGGATGTGCTGTTTCCTTCATGGAAATACGTTTGAAGCAGCTGTGTGCTCCCACCTCAGGCATTTCGGTCTGCACAGAGAGCAGGGAAACATAAATAGCTCTTTTCTCTATGACACAGGCCCTGCGTTGTGTTCTCGACCCCGGAGCCTCTGCTGGACGGCCCCCAGCGTGGAGCTCACTGCCTGTCAGCGGGTCGGCATCTGCCTCCCAAGCAGCCAGGCTCACAGGAATCCATAACAAAATGTCAAGGGGGAAGCTGCTCCACGGGGGCCATTACAGAGGATGATTTACAGCGTGTGTGTGTGTGTTTTAGTATCCAATTGTTCCTGGAATTACTCGATTGAAAGTAAAAGAAGAGGCGAGAGTGAGCCTTCCCAGCTATCACATGGAAAAGATCCAAGCAGAGTCATTACAAATAAACAGAGGCCCCGGACCAAGCCTGAGGCACTACAGCGGGGAGAGAGAGTAGCATCAGAGCTACGACGTGACAAAACAAAGTGTTTTTTCACCGGTCACCCAGGGGGGATGTTGTGCGAACTGTGAATATGACCCCACCCGGGGGAGAGTGGATGCGCAGGCGTGCAAATGGGGGTCATCGTGCAGGCAGGGTGGCTTTCCCCCTGGCAAAGAGGGTGTTATGTTCTCATGTCTGCCCTCTCAGTCCCAGTGATGATGGACGCTGAAGCATCTCTCTTTCACCCCGGTTGTGTGTTTGCAGACGGCAGTTGAAAGCAAAGAACAAAACGCCGGGCCGGTTGGCTCAGCAGCCTGTCCTTTATTCAGCATTAATGGCAGGAGGTGTCTCTTTCCTTTCAGAATTAATTAGAGGCCCACAGCTTTGTAAATTGGTGATCAAACAGATCAATGAAATGCTCTGGAATAGATGGAATAAATAGCTTAGCGCATTGGATCTTTTAATGTCAATCTTTTTATAATCTTGTACGGTCAGCCATCTTACACAGCACCATGGCTCTGTTTTCCATAAGGCTCCTTCAAGGCTCCTACAGTGAAAGCCTTTTGGTTGTTTCTCATTTCATTTCATTTCAAACCTTTATTTAGACAGATAGGTCCCTTGAGATCACGGATCTCTTTTACAAGGGAGACCTGCATCAATTTAGTTTCTGGAAGTGGGAGGTGCAGAACACTTCATTAGTCCTGTTTTAAATAAAAGCAGCCATGTTTGCCTAATGTCAGCTAGTGGCAGTGTAATATCTAAATGCAGGAGTGCACAGTTTTAGCAATATTTAGCATATGATTACATCTCGTTACACAAAGCAGAACACAAATCTGTGTTTCATCCTCAAAGAAGCCTTTGATCTGATGCTCTGCACGTACATTATACTGCATATAATTACGAGTGGGAACAACACATTTGCCTTTTAAAAGAGACTGGCAACCTGACTAGTGTTATCTTGCCTATTTTCTCAATGCATGTTGAGAAAAGTCAATGTACATTTGATATATTGGCTGCAAAGCCTGCAACGAAGTCAGAAAAGTGTAGGTACAGTAGGTGAATGCACCATAAAGAGAATGAGGAAGGGCGAAATGCCAAGTTTAGCACAAGTAGTGGCTGACTACAGAAATAGCCTAATTAACAAGCCTTAGAGAGCACAGCTTAAAAAGGCCACCAGACCTCAATGCACCTGGGACGCACTGAGCTGGATTAAGCTGTACACTGCAGGAGGATTTTAGCAGAGGAAGCTACAGCCGGTGATTCCTAACACAAGCAACGTACAATGTCCACTCACAACCAGAATACCACTGCGAGTAAAATCACTTTATTCCCACCACAAGCACTAAACTAAAGTGCTGTTGAGTCCCAGTGTTAATATAAAAAATGATTTAAATTCCTGAAAGTGGTTTACTTTGCTATCCTACCCCGTGAATTGATACCCTCCCCATCAGCCAATGAAGTCATTAGATTAGGATTAAATTCTTCCCTGATTTACAGTCACTGGGAGGGGCCGGCCTGGAGGTGATACAAATAGCTTTTGGCCCTCGGCTTTACCCAGATTAAAATGCTCCAATGTCATTAGAACTGAGCCATATGCGCCCTATCGTTTCATGAATCTTTGAAAAAGATGCAGGCTGCTTGTTGCAGAAAGGAGGACAGTGAGTGTGGCAGGGTATTGGATCTTCCTTTCAAAATCACTGGGGGGGGGGGGGGGGAAGCCTGAAAAATGAATGACATCATGTTGAAGGCTCATTAGATAAAACTGCAGGCGTGCAAACCTTCTTTAACTTCAGCAACCCCATCTCCCTGTGAAAGAAAGTATTACCCGCAGCAGAATTCACAATAAAGCTGGCTAAGGCTCTCTTGTTGCTTCCTAAGAGAGAAGCAGCTGATGGTGTGCACTTTGCAACAGAGTGGGACCTGTTTCAGCAGTGCTGCAGTAATCTGGCTAATTCAAAATGTGAAATAAGTACATATGCCTCCCCACCCCTATGGGCGCATTGCGCAGCGAAAGCTGTGCCATAAATTAATAAATAAAGACAGAAGCCAGGCAGGAAGGTTTTTTTCCTGCCGCATTCAGATTCCAGCACCAGGCATCAGTGGACAGCGACAGACAACTCATTACCTTCGGGGAAAATAACTTGGTTGAAATTGATATTACAGTAACACACTTTCATTTCTGAAGGAGTCCCCTGTTGTAGCTTAAGAAAAGGCTTTAGAGACTCTGACTAAGAACTGTTACGGAGCCCAGGGACCGTGTTTGCTGCATTGCTGAACCGGACAGTACTCACCCCAGCTGCTGGCCGTCCTGCCCAGGAACTCCCTCGTCCTCGGGTTCCATACATACTCCTTCCACCCGTTGTCTCCATCCTTTGCCATTTTGTCATACAAGTTTGGATCCCAAAGCTGTAAATAAACGCGGCCTAATGCAATAAAGCGGCGGGTTGTTAGCAATTAAGCAGAGAAGCACCGAGGCTATATGAGAAGCAATTAAACAGCGCACGAAATGAATGGAAATCAAGGCAAACACGCTACTGTGGTCTATCTGAGAACAGAAGGATGGATGGTAACAGAAAGAGAAAGCGGTCCTATACACTCCAGCACATACCTATAATATGCCCTCCCCCCCAGCTCTTGTCTGCATGCCGCAGAGTTTTGATGAGTGGTGCAGAAATCTAGTGATACTGCGGTAAAGCTCTCCCTCCGCCTCTTTCTACAGCACCCCCACCCTCTCCATCCCCACCACCGGCAGATCTGCCCCTCCCCCTCCTCCTCCCTGACCAATCATCTGCCCTGAACAGCCGACCCCCCCTCGCAGGCCCGAAGCATGACAGACAACCGGTCAGAGCCCATCGCGTGGTGTATGAAGGCATCCGTTTATTGGATGTGAGGCCTCCATCGTCATGTCCCCGAAGATAAAAACCCACATCCCTATGATATGATGTGCCCCAAAGTACTCTGAAGTGTCCATGATACATTGAATTCCCTATTGTTGTCAAACAAGGACTCTATTAATTCAGATTACCACATCTAGCATGGGTCAGATTTCATAGCAGCCTGCCAGAGGGTTTTCTTTCATTCATTGTCACAATTTGTGAGAAATAAGCTTTGAAAGATAATTATATATAATGCAAACTGTACCTCAATATTGGATTTTGAGTAGCTTTTAAAAAAAACTAATAATAGTGAAATAATGACAGTAAAATGCCTTCACATAGCCTATGCAGCAAGGCTACATGTTAGCATTAGCTGCATACTTAAAGCTACATGTATAAGAGTTGCATTCATCCTCGCTTTTTGCATTATAATAACACATTACATCCTTAGTATGCAATTTAAAAAAACTATAGAGGTTGGTTAACATTTGAAGGATGGTATGCAGCATCTGTTTCTGAGTGCTATCTTGCAGCAGATTATGCATGAGCCGGCTAAAAGTAGGGTCGAGTGACTATAGCGCCCCCACATGGACACGGAGGGAGATGCAACACCAGCTGCAGAAGTGCAGTGGGAACATAATGTCCACTTCCCAAACATCGCCACTGTGAAACACCACGAGGCATGAAAACATGCACAGATCCTGTTTGTTGTGTAAAGTTCATTATATAAAATTTATTTTTAATGACAATATCAATGCAAATATAGCACTACAGTGATTTCCAAGGTACACCGTATCTTACCATATCAATATAGTATGGCACTCGTATAATGGCCACTGTTTTAGAAGACACACAAAACCAACAGTTTCTGTAAACTATTTTTGGAAATGATACCTAGGGTTCCATGTCAGTCTGTGAGAAGGTGATTTACTTGGTATCTGGAATTAAATTGGGCACATATAGTCAGTATCATTGGGACATTTTCAGTGTAAGGAATCTCTGCATGCATTGCACTTGCCCATTTCCTTCAACCTCACTTGTGTTTGTTTAAAAATGGACTCAGTAAAAGCTTGAAAAACCTGGACCCTCAAACACGAGCAGGTGGGAAATAAAACAAAAAGGCCAAGCAGTGACTCTCAAACATTTAGATAGGTCTTCTTTTCACGGGGTGCACTGTAACTGTACAGCTTGGTGCTAACTATCATAAAAACGACAACAACCAAGAGACATTCAAGTGCCTTAATACTATTACAGAAGGGCTCACTCTTCAAGGTACAAACTTCAGTTCACGTGGCTTTCAGAAATAAAAACAAATATGTAACAATAAGCACGATATAAATAATGTTTCTGTTGAATGAACACCAGTAGTTCAAGATAGCAGCAAAGTATTCAAAATGTCAAGACATCGAGCCGTTGAAATCTGTACACAAATGAAAGTGGATGTAGAAAAAAAGGGTGTAAATAAAACACATCTTAAAGGGAGTCTTGCATAAATGTAAATAAACAACTGTTGGACTGTGCCTTTCTTTAGAGGGCTTACTGTTTATTAGTAGTAGAACTATAGGTAATGCATGGACTGGCTGCAGCAGATAAAGTACTTAATTCTTTTAGAAAAAAACAAGTGAACAAAGTTATGTTTATACAGTATATGCTACATAATATGTATTGATTACAAGTATGAAAATGGAAATAATTGCTACATTTTCAATACAGTTGTACATATCTATTTACATTACATTAGGGTTTAATTTCTCCTAAGCGTATACCATGTTTTGTGCAGATTGTTCCAGCATTCTGTTTGAGGTGATCAATAGTCACAGTCTTATCAGTTGCACCGTATCGTACAGTCAGTGTAAATGGGTGTCAGTGCTGTGTGGTGGAACAATCACTAATGTGCAACTGTGGATAAGCATGAGTGATGACGTTTTTTTGTATCATTGATCTGTATCTATATTTGGCTGGACCGCACAGTATGTGCCATCTGTCGCTCCGCCCTCTCTAACGACCCCGGGCGATATATATTAATCTTTTTATACAACCACATGTTATCATAGTGAAGATCTGCTGTATGTAAAAGTCTGACATGATCATCTCTACACATAGTCTTTTACAATACTATATGTCTATCGTGACATGCAGAGAATGACACAGTAAATATGACTTTTCAAGTCTTTAGATATGTATGTTAGGCTAGTTGACAAGTTTTTAATTATGTTGCTCCGGCATCTGGAGCATATTGCTATAAAATTGCAGAAACGTTGAGAAAGTAAATAGATTTACATTACAAATATGCAAACAGATACAGTAGGTAGCTTTTACTCCTCGTGATGATTATTTGCATCCACAATGACAATCTATTGATACCAATACATCTCAAATGCATTCACGACTTCAAGAAACACTTCAACAACTTGTCAATGAGTCTTGCCTTTTCTCGCCCACAGAGCAGTTTCTATGCAAGTTTGGACAACTGTGTGTTGGAGAAAATATATTATTCATTTATGTCTCAAGTAGTCAGCAGGAAATTTGGCAACACCAATCTAAGAAAACATCCCAACCATTATTGAAATGGCGTCTTCATTTTGTGGCAATAACACTGGCGTTTTGTGGCAACAAAGCATTGGCAATTAGAACACATCAAGGACACAGAGCAAGTACAAATCACCCGGGTAAGAGATGAATTTAGTCTGATTGTAATACTTCATTTCCTCACCTCTGTCCCCCCCAAATGAGTTCATAGTTTCCAGTAATCTACGTTACTGTTCAGTTTATCTCACAATAAAAGCAAGAATTATCTTGATCCTAAACCCATTTGACTCTCCGTTCTTATTAACTGCTCCTCATCTTCACCTCATGTGTGTGTTGAGTCTCTTCAGAGCTGTACTAGCAGCCCTGTCTATCCCCCTCAGATCGCCGTGTCCCAAACTACGGCCTGCGGCCTCTGGCAGGGCGGCGTGCCAGTCTTACGGGGCTCAGGTGTCCGTCTCCAGCTAGGGAGGATGGGCATGCTGTCCTGCTTGCACAGGCTTTTGTCAGGGCGCCTGTGGGCCTTGATCTCTTTGCACAGGCAGCGTTTACGCTCAATGACTTCCAGCAGCTTGCCGTCTCTCTGGCTCTGCGAGGCGGAGGTGGAGCAGCCCCCGCCCACAGGAGGGTGTCCCTGAGCCAGCTGGGCGAGCTGCTGGAACTGCAGCTGAAGGTGGTGCTGCTGCTGGAGCTGCTGGAGCTTCTGCTTCAACTGCAGCTGCTGCTGGTGGAGCTGGAGCTGCTGCTGCTGCCGAGACACGCCCGGACTGCAGGGCACTTGAGGCTGGGCCAGACCGTGGAGCTGGATGAATTGGAAAAAAGTAGAGTGAATTTATGTTGGATTTCATGAATACAAATGCATGCTCACTGCAGACAATCCTAGCACATGTTGAATAAAACTGCAGTTCCTGTGGCCAGCCAGGAGAATGCAGCGCTGCTTCATCTATCACAGGTTGAAGGAGGGTCAGCCAGCCGCATGAAGACCGTCTCTGCAGCACACTCAAACTGCGTCAGCACTTGCTATGCAGCTAGAATCTGGGCATGCTGGAAGACTGCAGCTCATCACTCCAAAACACAGTACAGCATGTTCTCGAATCCTCTATTCTCTCCCATTTTCTGACTACATGTCCGCCTGCGTCAAATACCTTTGCAGCTCTGATCGTTCTGAGGCAGGCCTGAGCCTTATTCTGCTCAGTGGGCATATCTAGCAGCTATAAATAGATCTGCATGAGCACTGTCTCTAGCAGAAGGGGAAGTAATAATGAGACCAATATTAATGTTCACTCCCAAATCTACCATGGTTACATTGAATAGAGTCTATATTTATACGGCTGGGTGTTGTATATTAACCTGATTCAGGGCTTCTCGAGCTGGTAGGCTGCTCTGTCTCTGGACGTCTCCTCCACCCACCTGTCTCACTCCGGCAGAAGAGGAGGAGCGGCCCAGCCGCCCCACTTCTGCAAAGAAACACATATTACTCTGTGTGCCTGCTAATGAGAACAGGAATACAACTTGTCATTATAATACGTAGAGGTGTGAAATTCTAACTGCAACTGTGTCATGAGACAGATATTTTGTACAACATGCTCCTTTAGTAACAAGACAAGTATAAACTAACCTTATACTGTTGAACAATAGGCACATTACAGAGATTTGTTTATTACATTTCGATGTTTAACTGTTTTCTGTATATCTCATATTTTCTTGTATACAGATTTCTATTACAGCTATGTGAAATGTAAACATTTTAGTGATGCTAATCTGTAATTGCCATAATTGTGTGTTATTCAGAATATGATGATGCTTCAGTTTTCTACAGATATATTTGCACTGTTACAAAATAAATGTAACACAAGGGAAAAAGGTTATACCGTTATAAAGTTGATTACAGGTAGCTTGGGTGATGTTTGCACTCTGACCAGTTCCCTTTAATCATCAGGTGATATCTGTACAGTCCGTTAGCCCATACTAAACTGAATTAAATGATAAAGTGTTTTTAACAACCTGGTTTGTCATGCCGTACATTATAAACTCTATTAAATGGGACCGGGGGTCATTAATGTATGTATGCAGAGACGTTGGCATGCTTCAAGTTAAGTATTGCACTGATTTTCAATTTTAGCAGCGCCTCTCTGTTTCTAGGGAAGGCCTTGAGTTAAAATGCAAATAGACTGACAAAGAGAAAACAAGCTTCAAGGCTAACTTCAGTCCAAGAAGATGCATTGAGCTGTTAGTCGGAGGAGAGGAAGGTCTTCTCTGATTTTCACAAGTTTAAGAGCTGAGCAACAACAGAGCCAGCAGAAGATTCCCCATATTCACCCACTGCTAGTTCCTCTCTAAACGGGATGGTGTGGTTAGAGGCTATGACGAGAAGATTATAAACACTAAGTTAAAGGTCCCCTATTATACGGTTTTTCATCAATATATTATAGGTCTCAGATATATACAAACATGTCTCTGAAGTGTTCGGCTCCAAACACCAAACAGGTCATTGCAGCATCCCATAATCCCCTCTGTTTCAGCCCTGTTTCAAAAGTGTTGATTCTCTTTAGATGAAAATAAGGAGCCCCTCCCCACGCCCCTCTGAGAGATATTTGGTTAGAAAGAACTCAATGGTGCTCTAGGAGGAGATTCAGGTGATAAGGGGGGGGGGTTACCTTGGTTGGTGATTGGCCAAAACATCGTTATGACATCATAAAGTGGCCAAAATCTGATCAGCTCATTTTCAGACAGGTTTTTATGTAAATCAGGACAAAAAGTGAGAGAATCTTTTTTCCTGAAAATGTCAGAGTCTCTTACCACAGAGGGGACACATGTTGATGTAGAAGAGACATGAAGAAGTGGATTTTGCATAATAGGTGACCTTTAAATTACCTCCATTGCGACAGGCAGGAAAAGTCTGGCAGGGAAGAGGCAGGCCGAGTCTGGGCAGCGCTCTGAACCCCGAGCTGCTGTCCATGCCAGCCAAAGACTCGCTGTGAGCGTGCGCCCTGCTGGAGCTGAAGTGCACTGGGATGCCCGAGTGTCCTCCTCGAGACCCTATGCACATGTCCTCTTTATCCATGCGTAAGAGGGCATCAGCGCTGCCATTCCACGCACGACCTTCATCCTCTGAGACATTGGGGAGGAAACAGAATGAATATTTCAAGGAGTATTTAAGCTCCTTTGAAAAGCCTCAATACTGGATCTGAACTCCAAATGACCTCTGACTTTGGCTCCTCCCATAAGACTGTTAAACACCTGAACGTTTGAAAGAACATCCATAACATTCATCTGTTTGCAACTTACAATTTATAAACCCAGTATATCATATTCCAATTACTTGTATATAGACTCTCCTTGCACTATTTCTATCCTACTTTATCTGTGTTATTGTATTGCACTGTTGGATGAGCCTGTGACCTAAGATTTTCATTGATATATCTACACTGTAGCTATGTACAAATGACAATAAAAGCCTTGAACCTTGACTTACTCTCTGTCTCTCTGCTCCCATGGCTGAAGGACAGTTTCCTCTGCATAGGCCAGTACGATTCCTCATCTGCTGCTAAGCTGGCACTGCTGTCCCAGGGCATGAAGCCAACCTTCGAATGGAGGGACGAAGAGCCACCGTTGCTCTTGAACGCCCCCTCGAGGCTGGAGGGCTGATGGAGAGACGGCGTGTGAGAACTTCCTCTCAGGCTCTCGTACGCCGGTGGTCTCCGGAAACCACCAGAGGGGTAGGTCCACAGCAGAGGGCTGTCTGAGGAGGGGGGCTTGTACGCTGGCAGGCCGTGAGGAGTGTGAGAGCGAAGATGGGGGCGAGAGTGAGGACGCTTGGACGAGGACAGAGGCTTTGGGGTGGAGCTGGAGCTGCTATGAGACGTGGAGATAGTGTGGTCCATCGGTAACGAATATGGGCCTCCATCCCTATCCCGATCCCTGTCTCTATCCCGATCTCTGTCTCTAACCCGATCCCTGTCTCTATCTCTTTCTCTGTCCTTATCCCTATCTCTGTCTTTCTCCTTGTCTCTTTCCCTGTCCCTGTCCCTACCCCTATCTCTATCTCGATCCCTGTCCCGGTCCCTATCCCTATCTTTGTCTCTATCTCTATCTCTATCCCTATCCTTGTCCCTCCCTTCTTTGTCAGATTTCAACAGGAAGCTCACAGACTTGCCTTCCCTTCCTGTACTCGAGGTCTGGGTCTGGACCGTGGACTGGTTCTGAGAGCTGCCCTTCAGCGGAGCGGGGGAATCTCCTCTCTCTGGTTTGCGATAGTGATGGTAGTGCGAAGGGCGATGGTGAGGGTGGTGGTGGTGATGGGAGAAAGGGGAGGTGGACTTGGAGGAGGGAGGCAGGGGTGTGGAGTGACTTCTGGCTCTCAGTCCGGGGGCCGGTCCCAGCTGAGAGTCCTTGCTGTGTTTGTCCTGCTGCGATTCACTTCTTCCCGACGACTCCTTGGAGCCCGACGAGGGAACAATAGAAGAAGTCGAGGAGGAGCTGGCTTGGGTCGTCACGCTGGATGTTTGAGTTCCCATTTTAGCAGAGGACGATTTGTTTTGCACCCCGACCCCGCTGGAGGCTGCCGCTGGCTGAGGGAAGGCAAGCAGCGGGGGTCGGTGCTGGAGGAGATTTGGGAAAGGGGCCGGGATCTTTGTGTTGGACTCGCTGTCGGATTTACTCCCTTGCAGCAGGTAGGGAGTGGGAGCTCGGGGAGTGTGAGGACTGGTGGAGAGGACCTGGGGGACGGGGGTGGAGGACGCAGAGGAGGGAAGAGGGGACGAATGGGAGATGGACACGGTGGCTTTGGGTTTGGAGTAGGAAGGAGAGGAAGAGGAAGGGCGTGGTAGAGAGGAGGAGCTGCTGGAGGAGGAAGGGGTGACATGGAAGTGTTTAGAGCTTTTCATTTTCTCATGTTTGGACAGGGGGTGTCTGTGGGAGGGTCTGTCCTCGTGCTGGGGGTATTTCATCTCCTCATAAATGGCCTCACTCTGGTCCGAGTCAGAGTCAGGAGTGGTGGCCACCGGGGTGACAGGGTGGGGGGTGGCCGTCTGGCTTTCTCTGGTGAACACCTGGCCCACCATCTCGATATACACCGGCTCATCATCCCTGTCTCCAGGCTGGATCTGAGAGTCTGCCTGGAAAGGTAAGGATGCGGCAGAATGAGGCACACGTGGAGGAAGAGAGTCGAAGGTGAGCTGGGTGCTGGGACTTCTCTTGGGTTTTAAAGGAGGCACCTTCTTTCCTCCCATGTCTCCAGAGTCAGATTTCTTCATGGCTGTAGGGGGAAAGAAAAATACAGGTCATTAAGAATGAATAATTTATGTTAGAAAAACATCACTAGTCACAAGCTTGAGCTTCAATAATCAGGATGCATGTATTTATTATCCTGGCAAGAATGGAAGTAGTCATCACATACAGAGCATCAACTATTTCCTGAACAGTGTCCTTCACATGCTGATATCCAAGAGAGGGAGTTACACAGTCACAAGATGGAGGAATAGAAAGCAGTCTTCAATGTTTACTTCAGATTAGCTCCACGTCAGAAATGATCATGCTTGTCATATGTCTATCTCCATAGAGGCTGAATCATCATGTTAATCACATAGCTATTATGCCTAAAACAGTCCTGATGCTCTTCTAGGTCATCATACATCCTGTCATGTACTGAGCTACAGTTGGGATACCTTTGTTATCATGTGCTACGCTGATATTGGAAGAGGACATTCAGTATTTTCCCAACAATATACTATGTTGAAAATGCACCGGGAAACACATTTCTTACAATTTTTCTTCTCTGAGTGTTTGTGTGAGTGAGAGAACGATGGGGGCGGCGTGTCACCGAGTCCTCTGCCGTCGCTGGACGAGGTGCTGAGGCGAGTGCTGGGGTGACGTTTGGGTTTGGTGGGGGGGCAGCGGCCGCCATGTTGGGACTGGGTGTCAGAGTCATCTCCGTTCTCCAGACTATCCCCGGCCCCTACAGCGTGGCAGGACTGTGAGCGCGGGGCCATGGCGGAGGCACACGAGTGAGGGGACAGGTCCTGGGACGCCGGCATCGTCATGAAACCCATCCGGAAGTGGCGGCGGAAAGACGCCAAATCTCTGACTTTGCCAACGGTGGCTGAAGGGTCACTTTGGTTGGAACTGCATCGAAAGGGTTGGGAAGGAGGATGGAAGAGAGATATGAAAGCATTAGGACATCAAATTTAAAGAGAGTTAAATATATAATACATGTGAATGATCGGCAAAGGTTAGTTTCTCTTTCACCCCACCACCCCCTCCTGCCTGAAATGCCTCGATTCGATTGGACTCCTCTGTTTCCTCAAGGAACATAGTGACATCACTAATTAACACGTGTGCTTCTATTGGCTAGTGCGACACACACATTGTACGTGATACGTAGCTATACGTGGCTAAGGGGCGGGACATCTCTAAGCGGTTGATCAATCACAACAGAGCCGGCCAGCTAACCAATCAGAGCAGACTGGGCTCTGGTTTCAGACAGAGGGTGAAAAGAGGTGCTGCAGCACAGGCAGTATGAGAAAAATAAAGAGCTTTTTGAACATTAGAGCATGGAGATATGTCCCAGGAGAAACACTAAATACAAATATGAACCTGAAATTGAGCATTATATGTCCTCTTTAAAGCGCCCATGTCATGCTTTTCCGGTTATTACCCGTCCCCTTGTGTATTATGAAGGTTTTTCTGCATATAAATGGTCTGCAGAGTCACAAACCCTCAAAGTACACCCTGTAGCACTGTACAACTCTAACACAGAACATACCTGTCTATGCTGCCCCAGAACGCCTCGTTGGAGATTTCTCTTTTTCCATTGTTTGCTTCCTGTGACGTGTGAACATCCAAATCAACAACAAATGGACCAATCCGGGAGCACCTCACACACCAGGATCCCTTGGCTAACTAACAGGCAGTCCCATTAACTTGCATAGAGCTCCCTGAACGCTGGTAATAGACGAGTTGGGATCGCGGAGAAATACTCTCTGCAGACCCATTCTCACAGCGTTATAAACCTTTTTCTTACTCGATATCAAGCCACACTGTTTTTACTTCGGCTGTGAGTGTTTGTGTGCTCAGGATGAGTATCGCTGTGTCTCGCTGTATCGCCGACCTGGAAACCTGTCCGCTCCTCTCAGCAGCGGCGAGCAGCAACGAGCCTCGCAACGAGCCTCGCAACGAGCCTCGCAACGTCCCGACCAATCAGAGCACACTGAGCTCACAGGGAGGGGGGGCAGGAGCTCCAACAAGCCGTTTAGGACAGAGAGTGAATACCGGGTGAATACACATACTATACAGTGATGCTGTATGAGAAACCAATGTGATTTTGGAAAATTGCACAATATAAATCTATTCTAGTAGACCTCAACAATGGAAATATGATCAGTAGAAATGGCCATGACATGGGACCTTTAAGTGCAAAGAATAATCATGTATCATGCTTTATATTGACCTCCCTTTTTCCTCACTTTCTCTGTGGTCATCAAACATCGCCTGTGCAGCAAAGAGATGCTTGCAGGGCTTTTTACTGCAAAGGGGAAAGCCCAAGAGGCTCTTCCATGTTTCACATCCACATATCTTTCCATCTGAATTCCTCCACATCTGCTTCATCCTCAAACACATTCAATTAGGAAATCAATTCCCCCGTCAAAAAGCAAAGTGCTCGTAGTGAACACTGCACTGCTGGAATTCCCTTATTTTTCGTAGCCTCGGCCGACATCTGTGGTCTCCTCTCATGATTGCCAAAAGCATCTGTTTCCATGGGAACAGTTGTGATTTTCATGCATTTGATATTTTGTCTGTGAAAACATCAATGACCCGAGCTCCCGCAAACATAAATATAACTGTCGAAGATAAAAAAGCAGACAAGAAATATTGCAGTGTTATACCAAACTGAACAAGATGAGATTGCATTCTTTAGTGGAATAAAACTGAAATAAAAATGGGGAAATAATCTATGAAACATCTTTTATTTCATTAAGACTGTACGACCCATTATAATAATAATAATAATAATAATACATGGGACTTTTATAGCGCTTTTCATGAAACTCAAAGACGCCTATGCAATTCCATGGCTTTACAAAAGGGAAAAATAAAGTGATTAAATTCACATTTCAATTTCTGAAGGGCATCAGAAAAACCTGAGAGCCTCAAATGAGGTGAAATAATAGGGGATTGTAAACCAGAATAAAAAATTAAAAAATGCTAAATTGCTTACAGTTGAAGTCCAGCCCTGTCCAGGCATTAGTGTCAGTGCCTCAAGTCTTGATTGATTGATACATTTATTTCGAACAAGTAAAATAAATAATTACAGAAACAAAACAAATGTTGCAGTGCATAGTCATGTAAGAGAAATCAAAACAAAAAATGACATTTACAACAACAACAGCATTAGCAACAAGCTAATCAAGTCTTGATGCCTTGTTGAATTCACCAAAAGGCTCACAAAATGGCTTCTGATAACCCTCTGCCTGCTTCTGTTTTAGAGAAAGGTGCTGCATTGGTGGTTCAACCCACAGCAGCACAAGTTAAGCAGGCTTTGGGAGTAACTTGTTAGTCTACGTAATCAGGGTGCCGAAAGGAAAAAAAAATAGACGTAATCAGATTTGTATTTCCTCTCTGTAAACTGTACTGTTCTGTAGGCTAATACTTTAAAGGTAGGGTAGGTAAGAATGGAGAAACCAGCTCGAGTGCGCTAGAATTTGAAAGTACGCAGCCGAAAAAAATCTGCCCCTTCCTTCAGACTTCCTTACAGAGCCCCTCCTCCAACACACACGAACGCGCACATGACCAATGAGGGCACGAGATAAGTTTGTGCACAGATGGAAGGCTGACAGGCAGGTAGGCCATCCAGTTATTTTAGCCGGGCCGGTTCAGATGATTGGTCGTGCTTTTTACAGCACCACGGCTTCCACAGATGACGTTTTTTTTATGTCCACCATTAAGTGTGAATCTATACGCCTACTGCCTGAATCTGCTTTATGGTTTTCACTTTCTTTGGTTCATTTGTTCTTCTTGTGAATCTATATGTTCATAAAATAATGTGAGCTTAAAGGTGGGGGTAGGTAAGTTTGAGAAACCGGCTCGAGATACACGTTTTGTTATATTCCATGGAATGCTCTTAACATCCCGATAGCAATCATCACAGAGAGTATAATGTTAGAATCCACTGCAGTAATGCAGGGAGAAATCAGAGCTTCATCAGGCTGATTCTTATTCCGCTTTATGTTGATCAGCTCTCAGCCACAGGGAGCACATCTGGATATTTCCACATCTGTGTCTATACGTTTGAGGCTGGAAGAAATTGTGTTTCTGAGTATGTAATTAAACAACTCAAATGCAATCATGCCGAGTGTAAGCAATTCATTATTGTAAATGATGTCGGCACATGACTGAGGGTCACGCCGTGCTCTCTTTCAGATCAGTAGTGAGGCAGTGAAGCACAGGAGAACAACTGGAGCTCAGTCAACATGGCTGGCAGCAGAAGCAGAAACCGGTTTGTTACCAGGTTGACACGTACGAGGAATTTGACTTGATGTCATGGTGCATACATAAAAGTCAAACAGAAATTCAAAAACACAGATAGAGAACTATTATAAGAAATTATAATAACATTCAAAAATATAGTAAAATATAGCAGTATTCACAGAGAAATAGAATGGAATACAATATGGAATAAAACATGGGATAAACTGAGGCATCAGGGAGAACACTGACGCTCCTATTTTCTTCCTCGTCCACTCAGTGTGTCTGAATGCGGGTTTTTAAGTGTGTTTGCATCTCGAGTATGCTTGTGCCCTTGAATGCCCGTGAAGACGTGCTTGTGACTGCTCACAATCCACATACTAAAAGGGACAAAATGAGCCCAGAGCAGAGGATGAGACCGAATGTGTCTCCAAACCAAGAACAAAGAATCAGCTGATTTAAAAGTTCATGGACTCTCACCGCTTTCTTTGCTTCTCTTTCCTCGTGTACTCAATTCATATTATTACACCGCTTAGTTTAATACTCGATTCTGATTGGTCGATTAAGACATTCCAGAGGTTGTTGTTCACTAACACACTGCTGCTAAGAAAGACCAAGGGACTATGTGCAGTCATATCAATACGATGAAATATGTTTGGTCAATGCCAGCTGTGGTCAACAATCATTGATGTTTACCATCAGAAATCACTGCGGGTTACTTTTTGAGTATTCATTTCTATTTCTGCTGTTTGGAGAGAACAACATCTTGGATTGTTAAAACTGTCACTATACTATAGTAAAGAAAAGCAAAACAGCCCAAGGATGTCAGAGAAGAAGACAGACACTCAGAGTTAAAAGACTGGTTAATTGAAAAAGAAAGACTTGCAAGTTAAAGAAAACCTTGATCAGTCATTTTAAGTAATTTCAGCGGAAGCAATCCAACCATTTTCAAATCACTAAAATCATTATACATTGTGAGTCAAGTAGTTGGTTTATTACATTACATGTCACTTGTTAGACGCTTTTATCCAAAGCGACTTACATACTCAATACTGTGGACAATCCCCACAGGAGCAATCTGGGGTGAAGTGTCTCAGGGACACAACAACATGCTGACTGCAGTGGGGTTTGAACCTGTGACCCCCTGATCCCAACACCAACGCACAACCCACTGCACCACACGCCTATTTAGTATGCAGCGGTGTAATAAGCAGCTTTATGTGGAGCAAGGCGGACATTAATGAGAAAGTGAAACTGCACCTAGCTTAGCATAAAGACTGAAACTTGGGGGGACATGTTTGCCTTCAAGACTCACTAGAAGTAACTCCCTGGATAGGACATTTGTCCGGAGATATATCTGTCTGCATACAAATTGAGTTATCTCCAAATTATTTCTAACAAAGCTTACAGTTCACCCAAGAATGGCAGAGACACAACAACGGTATGAGAACTCTTTTGCCAACACCTTTCTTAGAGGTATCTTTAGACAGACTCTTGAATACCTTCTCCTCCTTAGAGTGCGAGATAGTACCAAAAGCTTTAAGACTGTGAAAGCTCCTGCAGGAGAAAGCCAGTTTAGGTCATTAAGTACTGTAGCTACCGTCCTACTTCAATTATACCTTTTTGGGGGCAAAGTTTGAACAGAACTTGTTCAGTCATGTGTTGTTTTTTTTCTGGTGTGAAGCTGTCCTCATTCTGTTGGACCTTTCGGACATATTTGACACAATACACGCCATTTTAATTGATTGCCTCAAGTTATGGGTTGTCTCTAGTGTGGTTTGAAGCTGATCTGATTTCCTTCACCAGTAGGAACGAGATAAAAAGTCAAGAAATGCCTGCCGGTTTGACTCAAAGCAATAAAGCACAAGATGTATCTATTGATTCTGTTAAGACTATTATTGTGTGCTAGCCTGTGACACACACACACACACCCCTGTTTTGTTGCCCTAAAGCGACCTACGACCCATGTTAGTTAGCACTTATCTTTCTTATCACTGCAATGAATAACAACATGGATAATACTGCGTTTATTTTTGTTACAAAGGCTGTTTCTATCTGTTTATGAGGCAAGGAATATATTCACATTTCCCTGCCATGACAGCTGTGAGCTATCTTTTCCAAATACATTCATCCCTGAACTGAATGAATTAAAATCATTCATTTCGGGGAGGAATGTTCAAGATGAAAGTTCAAGACCTGAAGCTGCTGTAAACCATGTACTCAAGATCATTGAGAAAGGGCCTAATATGCTTTTGGGGGTTTTCCCTTTCCTCTGGTGTGTTATGTACTGCAGGTTTCTGTGCGTGTTGGTCTTGCTTTGACTCCTTTGTTTACTTCTGTATAGTGACATAACTATATTACACATTGTATGTGATAGGCTAAGGGGCGGGACATCTCTAAGCAGAACATGAGCAGAAAACGTTCCTCTTTAAGGGTTAGATAAGAGTGATTCTCTGTTCGTCTTGAAATAGAGTTGGAAATACAATAGTGATTTGGAATATCAGGTAAAGGAGAATCTTACCTCTGTTTCAAAACCAAAAACACTTAGCTATATCTATTTCACATCATCCTAAAAACCTTCAGGGTAATTCTGATTACCCTACACATGCAACCTGTTTCTCCCCAAGCCTCTCCACATGTCTGCATACGCACCAAATGTGTCAGACTTCACCCGTTCACACCAGTTTTAGAATTCTGCGTGAGGAGAAAAACGTCATCTGTCAGCGAGGTGTTTTTCCACCGCTCGTCACTACTGGGAATATTCTGTCTGCTTGTGTTAGCGCCAAACGAAAACTCTATTTTAAACTCAAAACTCACCTATTTACCATTCAGCATCTCCACAGTTGTCTCTATTTATAAGATGTGGTTTCTCTCCTGAGGGCCATGAGATCTCAAACTGTCTACCAGTTCTACAAAAACTCTAAATCTTACCAAGTATCTAGTCAGAATATGTCTTTACACCATAAGACATAATAACTTCAGAAGTACCACTGCAGTCAGATATCGGGTCTTGTTTTTAGAGAATGCATCATCTTGCTAAGTCAAAACATCCTATTTTGAAAATCACCAACTAACATCAGAAAACAGAAAACCTTTGAGCATTTGCGGCTCATATTGTAACAACATTTCCTGATTCTGGTCAAATATAGCTCAAAATGAGTTCTCCCAGCTAATTACAAGATCTGGTTTATCTAAATATCCCGTCTTATTTCAAAGAAATCTTACCAGGCAAATGTTCTCTTGTTCTATTGGCAGATTTATGTACTTATTAAAAGTGAAAACAGCTTGTTTTAATGATTTGTTCAACTTGTTTTTGGAGCAGCATTTTTTCCAGTGAGTGCCCTTGCTTCCTTCGTCTTTCCTCGACCGTCCCTCCTCCTCCTCCTCTTCCTCCTCCATCCTGTTTCTGATCATCCCTGGTCATGTCCTGCCTCTCACCTCTTCTTTCTTCACTCATGTCATCACTAGCTTTTTATTAGCAACCCCCCACTTTAAATGTTATTTTATTCTTTATTATTCACCTAATTTTATATTGTTTTATTGATTTTATAGGTTTGAATCTATTTCTGTTGTACCTATATGTTCACTTGCATCGACTCAGTTGTCTTGTGTCTTACCTGTCAGAGAGAAACCATTATTTATTTTTATTTGAATTATCATACCTTTGACCTCCTTGTGTCTATCAACCTGATCAAATGTTATATTTACCTCCTTGTACCTTTAAAGTTCTCAACAAATAATCTGAGGGGAATTTCTTGTTGTTTGTTTTTAACTTGTGATGTGTCATTTTGTAAAGCACTTTGAGCTGCATGTGTATCAATCAATCAATGTTTATTTATATAGCCCAATATCACAAATGTTACATTTGTCTCAGTGGTCTTCACAGTGTGTACAGAATATCAGTATGACAATACGACACCCTCTGTCCTTAGACCCTCACATCGTACAAGGAAACACTTCCAGAGAAAACCCACAGTTTAAAGGGAACATGGGAGAAACCTCAGGGAGAGCAACAGAGGAGGGATCCCTCTCCCAGGACGGACAGACGTGCAATAGATGCCGTGTGTAAATTGCTGTATAAATAAAGCTTTATTATTATTGTTATCATCATGTCTTGTGTCCCTCTCTCTGCTCTCCACCTCCACTGGCTTGATGCTGCCATGACGTTGATTTCTGCTGCCTCCAATTACCGCTGTGAGTCAGAAAGCGCTGGACGACGCTTCAAAACAAACCGAGGTCCCGTCCTTAAAGCTACCCCCCCCCTCTCTCCTCTCCTCTGCGAATATGGTGAATTATGGGTGACTCATATCTCCACTCTTGTCCCGAAGCACAGGCACAGATACACGAGATCCCTCAGCAAAAACACTTTTCAAAACAACGACCAAAATGTGGTTCAGTGTGGTGTTGTTTTGTTTACCTTTGTAGGGTGCTTGAATACCTTCTAATAGAATAGAGTTTTGATTCTGTCAGTGTGTAAAATCTGGTTTAAACACATGTAATTACTTATTATCAGCATTATCATTATTATCATTTGGATTATTATTATTATTATTAACGAACACTTAGTCTGTGTTGTGATTTATAATGATTACTTTTCACTTCTGCTGGAAGACGTCCAAAGAGAGAAGCTGGACCTAAAGCATCAGCAGCTCACCGTGTTGTTATTGTTGGTATTGTTGATATTGTTGTTATTGTTGGTATTGTTGGTATTGTTGGTATTGTGGAGAAATAAGAGCCACAAACACACCCAGCTTCCCGTTTTTTAACAACTCAAATCCTACGGAAACAGTGCAGAAAGGCTGGGGGGGGGGGGGGGACAAGTATTCAGAATTCTTATTTTACTATAAATACAAAAATCACCAAAACACTTACTTATGATTAAGTTATGATTAATCCTAGGTCTCATATCAGCAACTATAATACATCGTTATATTTAGAGAAATTGCTGACAACAATGTTAAATGAGTATACATTCAGATTGTTATTAGAGCTGCATTAATTAAGATGTGTTGTTGTAGCTGGTGAAGGTTCGATAGTTGTTGTGTTAGTTTAGTCCAGTGACTCCCAACCTGTGGGTCGAGCCCCCTCTAAAGGTCGGGACATGATTAATGAGGTGAAAACAACATATCATGAACCTTAAAAGTTATCTGTAAACCGTTTGATAATCTGACCTCTGACGTTTAAGCTTTTAACTTATTTGAACTATGTAACAAGAATAAAGAGGACATGTTGTGCTCGTTTTCAGGTTCATATTTAGTGTCTCTCCTGGGACATGTCTCCTTGCTTTAATGTTCAAAAAGCTTTTCTCATACTGCCTGTGCTGGAGAACCTCTTTTCACCCTCTGTCTGAAACCAGAGCCCAGTCTGCTCTGTTGTGATTGATTAATAGCTTAGAGATGTCCCGCCCCTTAACCTATATCACGTACAATGGGTTGGAGCGCTATATAGAAGCGCAAGTATTACATATGTAACGGTGCGGGAGAGACCATTGACATGCATACAAACCTATAACACACTACAGGAAAGGGAAACCCTAAAAGCATAATAGGGTCTCTTAAAGGGGAAATCACCACTACATTTGTTTCATTCTCTGGACCCTGAGTCTGTAATAAAGTTTTCATTCATTCATTGGACTCTTCATGCTTGACCTACATTGGTGTAATACATTGCTGTGAATAAAAACAAATGTTCCCTCTAAAGCTTAAAGGTTAGACCCTCTGATTAAAGTCATCTCTAGTGTATAGAGACGAATTACTCTATTTAATGTTCTGTTTCATCAGTTTCTGCCCCTTTTGCCCTCTGACATTTCATCTGACATTATAGTGGTTTATCTCCTCCGAGAAAATAAGTTCATTATGAAGTTCGGCTATGCAAATTTGTCAAAGACTTTTCCGGCGACCCCTGTGACTCCGTGAACTGTGGCTGGTATTAAGATTTGGGAAATGAAATTCATTCATGCCAGCTAAGAGGTTTATATCCGCACTGAACTGAACCCTAATGTAATCCCATATATGCAAAGCTCCTGAGGCTCATCCTCTCACCTCTTTTTACTTCCTTCTTGGTCCCTCTGCCTCCAGTCCAGACGGCTCTTACGATACAGCAGGTTCATGTCGCTGCGGGGTCGCTCCTCCTCGCAGCCAATCACAGCGCAGTGCAGCCGCTTGCTTCGCCTCTCTATGTCACGCAGGAAATGCTCGACTGCCACATCCTGGGCAGAGCCCGAGCTCATGGTATAGAAGAAGACCCGCGAGAGGGGAATGTATGTCAGAGGCAGCCTCCGCCAACTCACCTAAACAAGAAGAAACAAGGGCAACGTTTCAGCTCATTAATCATTTACAAAAACATGTTTAACAGCTTCCCAACCTACTTGCAAGTTGACAGTGATTACTTTGTGATGTGGCGACGCACATTGAACCCCGAAGAATCAAACCCAAATTACTAGGCAGAACTTTAGGGGAATCATTGCTTATCATTCTCACCGTGTCATTTGGAACAACGCTGCCCATTACTCCGACTGGCAGCCTTCAGAGACGAGACACGGTGATGCATGATGAAGGAGTTTGCAGTTTTGTTCAACCCAAACCTCTAGTGTATCACAAGAAGAACTATTTATACTTTCCTTATGCAGTTATGAATATTTGAGTAAGCATGGTAACTCAGCTGCGGAGCGTCTCTGGCTGCAGGCCCTGGGATGGCCTAGCTAAGCCTGTCTGTATCCACACAGTAATGTGGTTTGTCATATGTAGCGCAGGCACAGCTTCCTACTCACACTCCCCATGAGAAGCTTGTTGTGGGGCAGATATCTGAGGACCAATGTTTTTATACTGGAGAATATGAATGTGCAACTCAATTGGCTGAGAAAAGCACAGCTGTCAGCTGATGCATGTTCCCAGTGTTTTTCCATCACAAATAGCAACAGAGTTTGACGGGTTTCTTATACTGGTGTACAGTGGAGCATTATCTTCAGTGCTTCATCAGTTTGCTTTGAGTTACCGCATTGTTGGTGCTCAAACTGAAGCAGTCACTTTATATGAGATGCATTAAAGCAACATTATGTTTTTTTATCTTAGAATAACTATAGCTTCAGAATCATTTTGATGCTACACAGACTTGTAAAAGGGGGAATGGTGTCTCTGTCAGTCGCACTTTGTGCCCCAGGCCCCTTTTTTTCTCCACTATGTAACTTGGGGGAGCGGGATGTAGGATACACTCTCCTGGGGAAAGTGTGTAAGGCTTGACGGCACTGAGTTGTTGTTGGTTTATTTGATGGAGAACATTATTTGGTTTTCCCTCTAGTGTCCTCTGGCTGCTCTGCCTCGACTTCCTGATGGACAGAAAGCTTTACTTGTTGCTAAACCGCTAACTAAAGCTCACTGGAGGTAGCTTTGCTCTTAGTTTGAAATGTGGAAACCACTTCATCAGCAGGCTATCTTAAAATTGACCGAATGACACACTTAGATTTCCGGTCTCGAGATCTCATACTGCAATATGTTCTGTAAAACACTATAAAACAAAATGATGTAATCTGCTTTAGACATTTTCAATTTTTGCATTTCCCAACAATGAAGCTTCATTTGCATCCAGTTTAACTTAACTTATTATATTATATTTGTATTTACTTGGACTATTTGATCTGTTTTATTGTGTTGCACTGTTGAAGGAGCCTGCGACCTAAGCTGTTCATTGTCATAACACTGTAGCTTTGTACAAATGACAATAAAAGCTTTGAATCTTGAATAAGCTCTGGATTTTGCTTTTATACCCTTTGACTAAAGATGCAAGCATCAGGAAAAAGGCCATGACAGTAACATTTTCCAGCAGTTTAATATCTGTTTTCATTCTGTACACATTCAGGACCACTTAAACAACACCTAGCATCTACTTCACCACATCCTTATTGTTAGGAAAAAAGCTCAACCATCTTCCCTGTAAAGAGAATAATTGGCAGCATCAGGCTCCGTCACCTGGTCCAGGCAACATGTGGAGATGTGTATCTGTGTGTGATGCTTTAGTCACGGCCCAGTGTGCCATCCAGTGTGTCAGCGTGCGACTGCTATTCTTGTAAACCTCAACCCTCACCGCAACCTCGACCGATGCTGCTGCCATGCTTGCTGACTCGATGTTAATCAGGTTAGGGAACTGCGACTGTGGGTTGGGCTTTTGTTCACTTTGATTTGGGTTTTTGGGGATCTGGCAGCACTGCAATTGCCGCATTATGAGCTGAGGGTTGGTGTGCAATTAGCTTAAAGAACCAGAATATATTCATCTTACATCTGCAGGCATGTTCATAATCAAACTGCAAGCATAGCATTTTACAGATTGACACAAGAAGAAGAATCAGGTAGGTTGACACGTATGAGGGATTTTACTTGGTGTCGTGGTGCGACACCAAGTCAATTAAAAACACAGATAGAGAACTATTTTACGAAAACTATAATAACATTAAGAAATATTAAAAGAAAAAATAGATGTATAGTAAAATATAGCACTATTTACGTAGCAATAGAATGAAATCAAATGGAATAAAATAAAGAAAACAGATAGTGTACATTGTGTGCATTAATGTTAAGCATAGAGTCAATGATGTGGCTGAGGTAAAGTGTCAGTGGGGGGGCCGCAGTTCACTCTTCAATAAGTTGGCTGTGATCAATTCCCTAGAGTCACTTTAAATCCAAAATAAATCCAGAGCGTTTAGAAAGTTGTTTCAGGAGCATCTGTAGGGTCAGGAGGCACTTGGATTCCTCACATTAGACCCAGGAGGCAGATGGAGCCATGATTCATTTCTCCAGATCTGCATGCAACGCTGCAGACTCCTCACTCGTGCTCATAAGCAAACAGATCACACTAACACACTGAGAGCCGCCATACATGCTAAACACACACGTGGCCACAGGCTGTGATGCGGTAATTGCAAATGCTGCTGATTTGAGTGTGGGTTAAGGATGACAGAGAATTCAGATCATTATCGACAGAAGATTTAGAAATGCTAATTTGGGTGGAAGAAAGGGCAGAATTTAAATTATGCTGTTTAAGATTTTTTTGCTTTTACTGCATCTTCGGTCTTTACTCGTCTTTCACTGCCTCTGAGTTTCACACTTCAGGAACGCTCTGCCCTCCAGCCTCCTCTCAGAAACACTCCAGAGGTGGGAAGTAGTGGAGTACAAATACTTCCTTACTGTACTTAAGTAAATTTTTCGACTTTTTACTTTTACTTCTTACATTTTGAACACAAATACCTGTACTTTCTACTTCTTACATGTTGAACTCAAATACCTGTACTTTCTACTTCTTACATGTTGAACACAAATACCTGTACTTTCTACTTCTTACATGTTGAACTCAAATACCTGTACTTTCTACTTCTTACATGTTGAACTCAAATACCTGTACTTTCTACTTCTTACATGTTGAACACAAATACCTGTACTTTCTACTTCTTACATGTTGAACTTAAATACCTGTACTTTCTACTTCTTACATGTTGAACACAAATACCTGTACTTTCTACTTCTTACATGTTGAACTTAAATACCTGTACTTTCTACTTCTTACATGTTGAACACAAATACCTGTACTTTCTACTTCTTACATGTTGAACTTAAATACCTGTACTTTCTACTTCTTACATGTTGAACTTAAATACCTGTACTTTCTACTTCTTACATGTTGAACACAAATACCTGTACTTTCTACTTCTTACATGTTGAACTTAAATACCTGTACTTTCTACTTCTTACATGTTGAACTTAAATACCTGTACTTTCTACTTCTTACATGTTGAACCCAAATACCTGTACTTTCTACTTCTTACATGTTGAACACAAATACCTGTACTTTCTACTTCTTACATGTTGAACTTAAATACCTGTACTTTCTACTTCTTACATGTTGAACCCAAATACCTGTACTTTCTACTTCTTACATGTTGAACTCAAATACCTGTACTTTCTACTTCTTACATGTTGAACACAAATACCTGTACTTTCTACTTCTTACATGTTGAACTCAAATACCTGTACTTTCTACTTGTTACATGTTGAACTCAAATACTTGTACTTTCTACTTGTTACATTTCCCAAACAGGCTGGTTCCTTTAGTCTGAATGTGTGTTTGGTGGCGTGATCATTATTCTTTAGAGTCATTGCGTGCCTATTGATTTGAACACGATCCGTGTATCCATCATTTCCTGGTCTTCTCTAAAGAAGAGGGACCAATGGAAACGTTGTCATGGTGCCGTTGTTCAGCATGGAAACATTCATTAGCTAACAATGACATTATTGTTCGATTGATATAAAGGGAGGTCAGGTACTCTTTAAAACAGCTGCTAGTTATGGGTACTTTTTACTTAAGTACAATTCAAAGCCCTCTTTACTTTTACTTGAGTAAAGAAGTTTAGTCAGTACTTCTACTTTTACCAGAGTATTTTTAAACACGAGTATCTGTACTTCTACCTGAGTAAAGGATGTGAGTACTTGTGCCTCTCTGAGAGTCACACACACAGCGCTGGCCTGGCACTGACAGAGGGGGCAATGCTTCCATGAAACATATTTGCATTTAATTACTTTGGGGTATATCATCTCTTTGTTATTTGCAGACATACACAAGATGCCAACCTGCCTCTTTTTTGGATTACAGAAAAAAGCATTCATGATATATTTGCCTTTGCAAAGCTGAAGTAATTAGATTGAAAGGGCCGATAGTACAGAACATCTTGTTTATTACAGACTTGATCTTCTCCTATGTACACGCCGTTCTGGGATGTTTGTGTTTTCATCCCTCCAAGGCTGAATTATATTGCACAATTGAACTTTGTAACTTAGTATTGACAATAAACAGCTGCATCAGAGCTGCGGGAATCGGCTCTTGAAACACATTGAATGTAAAGATTGTGTTGATATTAAATTAAAATTGAGTAAATCAGTTAAAAGACTACATTTTGTATTAAAACAAAAAATAGTGGAGGCTCTTTGTGGTCCATTTCACCTCTGGACCTTTGCATGTGTACATGCGAGAGGGTTGAGGCCCAACAACTTGTGCAAAACTCCTGACAGAAAGTAAAGTCAGGAAACATCACAAGGACTTTCCATGTGCAAATACTTTTAAGTCTAATTTTATCAATAATGTATGATCTGTAGATTTTAAAGAAGACATATTAAGCACATTTTCAGGTTCATATCAGTATGTAGTGTCTCTGCTGTGACATGTCTTCATGCTTCAATGTTCAAAAAGCTCTTTATTTTTCTCATACTGCCTGTATGCACCTCTTTTCACCCTCTGTCTGAAACCAGA